CAGCGGCAGGGTTGTGGGGAACGCTGAGCTTCCATTTTGAGTAACAAAGTGAATATTATATATAAAGAATAAAGTAAAGCCAAAATCTTTATTTTTATGCATTTAGAATATTTTAAATAGTTGGATATTAAAAGCTGTATGAGTTGTAAGTAATCTTGCCAAAGGTTAAGAAAAAGGGGTTGGATGTAAGAAATTGTATATAAGATTGATTTATCACTGATTCTTATTGTAAGTAATATTGGGGGAGGGTGGGGGGCTGGAGAGGGACAAAAGGGGCCCTAGCTTGTTCTTGTATCTGTTCATTGTAAGTAGCATCTTGCAACAACAATCACAACCAATACATCATTATAGTGTAGTTTTAAATAAAGAAAATTAAAGAACAGTATTGCCATGGTTTGCAAGCCATGGGGAAAAATCTACTGTTTTTTTTTTTTTTAAATTGGAATCAAGCTACATATTATATATAGTATCTTTATTTTCTTTCATGTATCGCTGCAGTTTCCTTGTCTTAATCTACTGGTTCTAACACTACTGTGACAACTTAATGTATGCATATCTACAGCCTGGGGCTACCTAGGAACCCATTTTATGTTTGTCTGTCAATGGATCTTGGAAGATTTTAACTTTGTTTTTATTTTTTTCCACCAATTTGTGAAACCTCGTGGTTAAGGCTGCAGCTGGTCCAGGTTCTGCCTCTGGTGACTCGTGAAATCCATCTCATTTTAACTTTACTTTTAAACTTTGGCCTTACAAGCAAATGTAAGTTATATATATTTGTACTGATGATTTATAATCTGCTTTAACAGAAATAAATGTTGGTGGTAGAAGCTCTGTCTGGGACAGCTTTATTTTTCCACATTTTGTTTTGTGCTGTCAGGGGCACACAGACAAGTCCTGCTCGCCAACACAAAGCCTGACCATGGTGCTCTCTGCGCGCGCCGTGTTACGGTACCTTGAACAGCAAGAGCCAGCTTGCGAATATCCTTGCTGCTTAGAGCTCCAAAAAGGAGGCCTTACTGACACCGGTGGATTCTAGTTTGCATCGATGACTTTTCTAATGCTCAATGTTTTCTTAGGTACAAACACAAAGATGTTAACATTCAAATAGGAAAAAAAGAAAACTCAGTTTCATTTTCTTTCTCTTAATGTTAAAAGGAGGGAAGAGCCTAGTAGCCAATAAGGTATTTTCCCTGCTGTCTGCCCGGTCAGTAGCTCTCCCTGCGCTGTCACTGTGACTGTTTCGTGCTGCCCGTCTATGTCTACCCCACAGTTCAGGCACAAAAAAAAATCAGACCTGGCACCTGCAAGGGGCGGATATTATCCGAGCAGCTAACGGAGCAGAGGGGACCGTTTCCAAGCCTTCCTTTGGAGTGTGCCCATCCTCCCGGCCGCCCCTGCAGGTCCCATTTGCAGGCGCATGGGGCTGCTCAGGGCCGTGCGCAGCTGCCCTGGCGCCCCTCACACACAGCTCCTGCCTGCAGACCTGCACCACCAGTGCTGGCCAATGGTGCCTGTGCTGGTTGAGGCAGAACTGCTCTAAGACTAGAAAAAGCTATCCTTGCTTTTTTTTTTTTTTTTTTCCTTGCTTTTTTTTTTTTTTTTCCTCTTTCCCCCCGTCTTTCTTTCCTGTTGGCCCGTAAGTCTTTCACAGCAGTGCCTAAAGACCATCCAAAAAAGAGTCCCCTCTATCTACAACCTTTCCTGCGCTCACGATAAGTGCGAGGGAAATGGGCTCTTCCTAGGAGATATTGTTTAGGGACAGTCGGTCAGCGCTTGGTCCCCACAGCAGCGAGTAAAGGGCCAGCGAGCAGCTAGTGACACTGCACAGAGGCAAAACATCAGCTTGCCAAAAGAGGGAAGGCAAAGGCCTTTTATGCAACTGCTGCAGCTAAGGCACATGCAGTGAGCCACAAGCCATCGTCTGCACCCCTTGGTGCTCAGGATGCTCAGTAGGATTAAGCCAGAGAATAAACGCTCACTGAAACGAGCCCCACCGGCATAAAATCAGACACAGGGCTGCAGAAGGAGCTCTCTGCCTAGGCGCTTCATAGCCAGGCAGCTTAAATGAAGGTGAATATTCACACTACTTGAGTAGTATGGGGGGGGAAAAAAAAAAAAAAAAAAAGTACTGGGGGGGATGTTGCAGACACGGCTGCTCACATGTTTGGTGCAAGTAAAAGGGAGGGCAGGGCTGGGCACAGCTCTAGTCTAGCCCCAGCCCCCTCCTGAGAAGTGCTCAGGAGCCCAGCAGGTCTCAGTCATGTTTCACTTGAGATGGGCATTTACACAGCTTGTGCTCATGGCCCTTCGCTCAGAAGGCCGATTCACACCAGAATCAAATAGCCTATATATAAAACAAAAAGGTGCTGTTTTTGACATCTTAAATGCAAGGTTATGAGCATACACAGATAGTCTTGGGATCAAAACTATCTCAATGTTTTTAAATAACGACTGATGGCAACTTCACAACCCATCTTGTGAGTTATACAGCAGAGTAATTCACTTCCCCGCAAAGTAAGACTTTCTGCCTTCCAGCAAGCGGATTTTTTTTATCACTGACCTTTCAGGGAAAAGTCTCTCTCTGAAAAATCTGTCCCTTCTCACTCCTTTACTGGATTGCTTCTAGACTTTTTAGTGTGTTCGCCTCTTAAAGTGTGGTGTCCAGAAACCTGAAGACACACCTAGAAAGAGTGCAATCATTAGGTCAGTAATTCTTATTTTTAGATGCCGCTGAAATGGGTTACTGACTTTAGATTCCAATGCAGCTTCAGGCTGCCAAGCCTGGGGATTTTCACCTCTCTATCACTGCTGCCCTGAGCGCAGATTCTGGGCTGGAGGGGAGCGGTGCGAGCACAGCCCACAGTTAGACACCCTCCTTGCAGGCCCTAAAGCAACAGGTACAGGGGGGAGAGGAGAAAAAAAAAAAAAAAACCAAACCCACTAGTATAAGGTATCTATACTTCAGGTATCTATACTAGTTCATAGATTTACCTCCACATAGACTAGATAGATGATGCCCGTTGATAAATGTAATTAACCCATCCAAGTCTGCCAGCCGCTCTGCACCTGGACGGCCTCCCCAGGCAGCCCCGACCCTCAGGGCTCAGCCCAGGCGCACACAGAGCCAAGCGCCACGAGAGCAGAGCACAGACAGGGTCGGGCTGGCAAAGCCTCTCCTCTCCCTGGCACAGCCCCACAATAAGGCTACCACAGAGCCCATCTTCACATTAAATTCAACATAGCAGTTGAATTTATCTATCTTCCTAGGGATAGTGATATTTAAACTGCAACAGACCACACAATAGTGTTAAATTTGGATCATTTGTAATCCTGGGGAGCACCTTCTACCTGAACACCAAGGACTCTGGACATGATCAACCTGACTCACGTAAAATTAGTGTGTTTGGTTTCTAGGTTACTAGGGATACAGCCATAATGTCACTCACTGTAGCTGTCAGTTGGGTCATTTTGGCTCTACTTGAACTTGCTCCGTGCTGGAACAAAATGCAGGAGTGCTTCACAGGAACATGAGACACAGTGTAAGAGTACTTTAGCCCTCTCTAAATGGTAGGGATCCATTCTTTAGCAAGACAGTTCCCATCTTCAAACACCTCAAAGATTGTTTTTAAAAGCACTTCTCTCTTGCTTATGTGAAGACCTGCTCTCTGCCTCGTCCATGCTGATTATCTGCCCGCCGCAACGTCAGGGCAGCCTTACGGTCCCGATGTCACCGTGTCCTGCAAGTACCAGCAGCTACTGAGAAGAGATGGATCCGCTGGTGCGAGGCGTGGAGAGGAGAAAAGGTTTGCCAGGCCCTTGGGGGCGGTGGTTCCCCCACCTTTGGGCAGTCACCCTCATGCCTCTTTCGCTTCGCCCTCCTCAGCTCCAGGCAGAGCAGGGCTCCCCGCACAGCTGTGGGCAGAGAAAGGCCAGAGCTCCTGCCTCGTAGGAGCCCCCTGCATGGGCGCCGTCAGCGCCGCGCGGGGCCGGGGCGCTGGCGCGCGCAGCTGGCGCAGCAGAAGCTGCCGTAGTAGCGGTTGCCGCAGAGCTGCGCCTGCACGATGAGCTCGCAGTTGGCCAGGTGGGGCTGGTCCACGCACTCGCTGCTCCCCTCCACCACGTCGTTCACGGCTGCCGCGGCCAAGCGGGAGGGAAGAGGCTCAATCAGGTCTGCACGAAGCTCGCCCGAAATCCACCTCCCCATCCTGTCCCTCACGTTTCCATTTCCCTCCCAAAGGAGCCAGCGCCTTCTCCACCCTGCCAGTTCTGAGGGGATTATTTGAAACACAGGCCAAGATCAAGAGTTAAAGGGACCCGCTGACGCCCCTGCTTAGACAGAGGAGAAGGACAGAGTTTCTGGGCCTTAACATCCCTTGTGAGGAGCACTGCTCACCCTGTGAGGCTCAGCCTGGATGGCATTACCCAGGGGCCAGGTCATCTTGCAGCCACACATTTTGTTGACCAACCCTGGTGTTTAGGCCTCAGGAAGTGAATCAAGGTCCCCGTGCCCTGCTGCGGGCTTGTCTGCACCCTGCTGCTTTTCCACGCAGGGCCGGGGGCCGGGGCAGTGCCGAGGCGGGCGCTGCGC